GAAAAGCAACGGAAAAATGTCCTCAGGGGAGGGATGGAGGGAGGGACGGAGGCAGGGAGGGGAAAGAAGAGTTGACTTAGAAACTATAAAAGTTCCAAATTATTCTCATCTATCAGGGTGAGCTGAACTGAAGTATTTATGTAGCAACCCCAGCTTGGCCTGAATACTACTACTTTGTTGACAGAATGCTTTGGACTATCCCAAAGCTGGCTCCCTTGTCAGTGCAGCATTTAAGTTCTGGCTATGAGTGCATCGTTTAAAGGAATGTTGTGAAGTGGGTGCAGGGCTGCTCTTCACTCCTTACTGCCAGGGAAGATTGTTGGCTCTGCATAGCAATTCCCGTGTAGGCCAGTGCAGAACATGACCTCAATCTTCCAGGCAGCTGCCAGTTTGCAAGGCTATGCTGATCCAGCAAAATTACCCAGAATCTGGCGTAAGGCTTCCAGGGCTTGCTGTGTCCTATAACCTTCAACATCAGGGCAGCCCGTCCCCAGAAAAGAGAATAAATGTTTACCTTAATACCACTGAGGTTCAGAGTAAAAGACGCGCATGAGGACCAAAGTGAGAGAAGGGTGAGGTAGGTGTCATTCGTTCCAAATAATAACAATAATGGTAATAAGACCATGCATTTATTGAGCACTGGCCCTGTGCTGAGTGCCTTTTAATGCTTTCACACATTATCTCACTTGAAGTCAGTTTCTGGTCTGCTTTTATTTGACCAAAATCTCAAAGTGTCTAAAAAAAAAATTGTTAATCACTGAAGGTACCTTTGCACATGCCAATTTTTGTTTTGTTTTTGTTTTCCATCTTTTATCAAAGGCCTAACAAAGGTCAGCTGGAGCATTCTACTGATATCCATGACACTGCAACAATTCTCATGCAAGGCTGATAACCAGGACAATGGAGCAGAGCTGTGGAAAGCAGACTGGCCTGCCTGGGAGAATGGAGAGTGCACATATATGAAAAAGATGCATCTATGAACTTCCTGTCGCCAACTTTGAAAGGTTGGTATTTATATGGTCCTAAAAACTGGAGACAACCTAATTCTTACTGATCCAACATTAGATTATAAATGCTCTGCTGCATTGGAAAATGTCTATTATACAACCCAGGTATTGGTCAGAATGTTTCGTCTTTTCCTTGGTTATGAACTTCAGTTAACCCAGTTCTGATCTGGACATGCTACTCTCCATCACAACTCACAGATGACACTGGAACAATTTCACTGTCATTTAGTGCTCAAATGATGTCTACCATCCCTTAAGCAACTAGAGTACACATATTAACATCTTAATTTATAATCCTTTTGCCAAAGCACTTCTCTTAGAATTGAGTTTAATATTTCTCTAGTCTCACACTCCCAAGTTCAGTAATTACAGTTAATTCCAATCTCCCTAATCAAGGATGCATGTCTTTAGTCTCCCTAAAAGTAATGGGGATTGTAAATGGATGGATTTCATTACTGTTCATGATTGTGGTCAGCTGTTCTCTGGTCCTCAGTCTAGGACCATCTCCCTCTGGGAGGTATTTGAAAGCTAAACAACCCTACATTTAGCTGCTAACAACAACAAAAAAAGACAAGTACATACACACATCAGTCTTATTACAGATGTAAGAACAAGACAGGCTGAATCACCACTGAAGGGGTTGGTAGGCCAAGACCACATGCTTCATGATTGGCAGCTGCAAGAGGGCCAGGGGTCAGAATATCTGCACGCTGCCTTGGAGAAGTGACTCACCCAGCACTAGTGGCTAAGCCCAACTGACTGGAATAACACCTGCAGGCAGGATCTGGTATATTTAAAAGAACACAGAGACAAGGAAGTAGCTAGTGAGTCCTCTCACAATTCTGTAAAAGTTGATTTTCTGTCCCAAAAGAGAATGAAAGAGGTGAATTCCCTCCTAGATCTCAAACTCCTTGAGAATACAAACCTAGTGGAGTACCTGGCATACAACAGATTATTTGTTGGAGCTGAAATTAACTGACATGTCCTATCATTGAATGTACATAACTACCTGACAAAGTAGATACTGCTGTTCCAGCCCTGGTAAACGCTGCTGTGACTTACTTGAAGGCACACTGGCCCAATTTTGGCACTATTGTCAGAGTTGAGCTAGTTTCTCCAACCTTTGCTGAGGTCCCCAAAGCTATTCGAGCTGTAGTAAGTACTTGCTCAAACAAGTAGTTTCAAACAGCTCAGTTAAGTAAGCTGTGCTGGTTTGGTGGCCACTGAGGTGTGGATGTAGTTTTATATCTGCTAGATCAAAGGCAAGCACGGCATCATTGGCTATGTTTAAAAGGTAGTTTAAAAACCGGTCTTTTCAGAACTATAAATTGGTAGTTACAAAATAGTCACAGGGATGTAAAGTACAGCATAAATAATAGTCAATAATATTGTAATATCTAGGTATGATGCCAGATGGATAGTGGAAATATCAGGGGGAGCACTTTATAAAGTATATAATTGTCTAACCACTGTGCTGCACACCTGAAATTAATAAAAAATAATATTGAATGTAAACTGTAATTGAAAAATAAAATTAAAAAAAAAAACTCTCACACATTGCTCACGGGAATGTAAAACAATACTATCACTTTGGGAAACTGTTCAGGAGTTCCTTATAAAATTAAGCATACACCTATGATATGATCCTGACACTACTTGTTAAGTGTACAACCAAGGAAATGAAAGTGTATGTTAACACAAAAACTTGTGACAAATGTTCAAGGCAGCTTTTAATAATAGCCAAAAACTGAAAACAATTCAAATATCCATCAACAGGCGAGTGAATAAAAAAATTGTGCACACCCACATAATGCACTACTACTCAGCAACAAAAAGATTGGAATATTGATACATGAATGGATACACAGCATGGATAAACCTCAAAATCATTATGCTGAGTAAAAGAAGTACACATTACACATTATACAAAGAGTATACATTATATCATGCCATTTATATAAAATGGAAGAGAATGCAATCTAATTTATAGTGACCAAAAAAAGATTAATGATTGCCTAAGGCCAGGAGCAGGAAGGATAGGCTACAGCATGGCACAAGGAAATTGGGGGGAGGGGAGGGGAGGGAGGTAATAATAGAAATGTTCTGTATCATGATTATGGTGGTGGTTTCACAGGTATANGAGGGAAGTAATAATAGAAATGTTCTGTATCATGATTATGGTGGTGGTTTCACAGGTATACAGTGGGACAAAAGTAGGNAGGTAATAATAGAAATGTTCTGTATCATGATTATGGTGGTGGTTTCACAGGTATACAGTGGGACAAAAGTAGGTGAAACAGAGTTTATTCTTGTTATTATTTAATTATTGTCTTATTTTCCATACAAACAAGAGTAAATCTACTTTTGCCCACCCTGTATATAACTATCAAAGGTGATGTCAGCATCTTGGCAGCATAAGTCATTCCTCTTCTCTCCCCTTTTTCTAACTAATTAAACATCCATAACCAAACAGAAGTGCTTCTGCACATTACACCAAGGTTTCCAGACCACTTGTATACCAGAAAACAAACAAAATAACTATCAGCCCACCTATACACCAGAAAATAAACAAGATAACTACCAAAGATCTCATCAAACTGTACCATTTAAATGAATGCATCTTGTTTTACATACATTATGCTTCAACAATTTTTTTTAAAGCTTATAGGAGCTTATGTCTTAAAAAATATACATGTCTATTACAGTAATTTCTTCCCTAATTTCTATATAAAGGAAATCTAGGTCACCAAATTGGTTTTAAACTTAATAATTTATTAAGAACAACTGCAGCTAAAATTGATAATACCAGTGGGCGTGCAAGTTAGCAGAGAAATTCATGAAACACTTCAATAAGCACCTATATCTTAAGCTGAGTTGGAAATATGAATGAATTTGGGAGTTAAGGGGATGAGCGAACATGGTCACTTTGAGCTTCAGTATGTATATTTCCCTAAGTGTTTAGGGAACTACAAATAATTTGGTCTGACTAAAATTTACTTATGTATTTATTTTAAATATGTTTTTATTGATTTTAGAGAGAGGGGATAGAGAGATAGAATCATTGATCAGCTGCCTCCTGCACGCCCCCTACTGGGGATCGAGCCCGAAACCCGGACATGTGCTCCAACCAGGAATCAAACCAGCGACCTCCTGAAGCACGGGAAGAAGCTCAGCCACTGAGCCACTCCAGCTCGGCAGGTCTGACTAAAGTTTAGAGGCAGATTAGGTAAGAGGAGAATAATGGGGGAATATGAGGCTGAAAGGAACAGCAAAGACGGGATCACAAAAGACCTTACATACTATGAAGAGTTTGGACTTCACCCTTGTAAATAAGGGGACAGGAGAAGGTTGATGTTAAAGGTCAACAAAGAGAAAAATAGAAAAAAATGTAACCCTAAGATCATTCAGACAGAATTATGGGGAAAGGCTTGAGGGCAAAATAAGGCAACAACCAATTAGTAAACCTACTGGAATAATCCAGGCCAGAAAAGACCAGAGCCAGAATCAAAGTACCAATAAAGGATAAATTAATATGGTAAAGTATTATACCCAGTCTTTAGTGACTATGAAGAGAAAATAAGGTCTAATCCCAACTTTCAAGCACTACTCACAGAGATAGAGTACGATAGAAGAACTTAAAGAAGATAATGCCATCTCATTAAAATCTCTTGTAGTACAAGAATGGAAGTCTACAAAAGAGATTACCATTAGGGCATACATCAATGAAATCCATGTTGTTACTTGAACTCTGATTATCACCTTTCAAACAACAACAAAAGATTTTTAAAATATCTTTCTAATATGTCTATATCATATTTTTATATATGTATTTATCATACTTCTAGATACTTTTCTGTTTTAATTAAAGAAAAACACATCTTAATTTTATTATTTAAGTATTTGTTTAATGTTTTAAAATTCAAGACACTTAAAAAATTTTAAAGGCAAAGATTAATAAAATAACCTTACCATTCAAATGTGACTTTTTAACAGTAAAATGGAAAAGTGGTAAACAATCTCCCTTAAAAAAAAGTCAGCACTTCCAAAAACAAAACAAAACAAAACAAAATGAGAGAGGCTTACATATAGAGCTAATTGAGAAAGGGGATAATACCTTATTTTAATCCAAAAAAAATGAAATACTAGACGTTAATAATGAAATTTTCAATGTCAGTTAAAGTAATTATTGAAAATAAGGTTTTTTAACCTTGAAATATATTCTCTGAAATGGTATCTTGTTATCATATTTGATTTAAATATATCAAACCTTTAAAATCAGCAAATAAAAACCAGCAAAACAATTTACATCCGAAAGCCTGACATACTGATTTACTAGTTTATGTTTTCCTAAGTATAATAATAAACAAATCTTTTGAGTAGTCAACATATTAGAACTACAACTACCTATTTAAAATAGTCATCTTTCAATATGACACATCAGTAAACAATACAATACCTTAGTAATCATCTTATATGGAGTAAGTGGAAAACAAATTTCTCAGTAACAGTGAGTCATCAAGTTCCTTCATCTAATAAAAAAAATTATTTAAAAAACAAACACGCAAACATGATTAAACACTTTTAAATTGGAATAGGCTATACAACTCCCTTTTTCCCTTTTACAAAGAGTTTCAAAAATAAAAGGACAAATATAATTCTAAATATTTCATTGTTTTCCAATATCATTTTAGTAAATTATTTATTCAATCGCTTCTTTAGGCTCTCAAGGTGTTCCACATTAACATCTTCTAATGCCAGCACCACTGCTTTAGACAAGGAGGGATTAAATGAAATGGTCATTAGACAGCACAAATCTATTAGATCTCGCTGACATTTCTGCAAACCTTCCAGGAACTTCTGGTATTGAAGAGGATCCTTTTTTAACTTTTTCATTTCTGGTACTGAAAACCCTATCAGACTAGTAAGTATTTCATCTACAAAGTCTACATCTAGATATGTAGTTCCATCAGAAATCTTTGCTGTTATACTCCAAATGCCACCAGAACTTGAGAGATTTCCAGTCAAGGTTACAATAAAGGCTTTGACTTTCACTGTTAAAACTTCCTTTGGTTTGGTGGCCATTAGAACAGACAAATAGATAAAGGGTGGAGAATACAAATCCATGATGACAGAAAGATTAGTGCTATTCTCTGATGATCTTAAAGAACAATCCTGCAAATGGTGATCATTTTCATTAGAAATTTGTGAAGTCCTTTTGGGTAAATAACTGACCAGTTCTCCATTTAGTACTTTATTATTTAAGGAATGTATATCTGAACTGATGGTTTGTTTCACTTTATTATCTGCCTCTAAGTTCTTATCTTTATTTGAAAAACCGTGGGGTAAGGGTACATTATGATGAACTGAAAAAACACTACTGTTGTGGTCTCTAGCAGATAGACAACTAAAGGATTTGTCTTCATTAGTCATTTGTTCACATAATTTTTTTTCATTATAATTATTTCCATTTTTGTGAATCAAAGAAAAATTATTTAGAGTATTAGGCTTCTGTGAAGATCTCGCTATATTTTCATCTGTGATTCTGTTCAAAGTCAATGGCTCCCATTCTTTAGTCTCCATTTGTTCTTTCTGGACAGCTTCTTCTAAAAGCAAGGCCTCCTCCAATGAAAAGTCATCTAGTTCCCCATCAGTGAAATGCACAGATTGATTTGGTGGTTTCTCCTTTGGTCTTGGAGAAATAACAAGTCCTGTTTCAAAGCTTGACTCTCTTGTGGGAATATTATTTAAGGAACTACCCGTGCTGAAACATCTTCTTTCCAATGAGGTGTCATTATTTGCTGCAAGCTCATCATTTTCATCAAGACTTGCCAAGAGTTCTTCATCAGAAGGTCCTAACACAAGCTCTAGATCATCTGTATTTCTGGGGATGTTTTGGTTAGAATTACTTGGTATGACTGAAACTATGGGATCAAGTTCCCCAATTAATCTTCCAAGTACTTTTTCTTGGGCATATTCCTCTAAAAGAGCATCTACTTCTCCTCCCAACACCTTCACATTTTCTGGTTTCAATAAGAGAACACCAAGACGGAAAGAAATTATTCCATAAATTAAAATTTTTGTACCTGGAGGAAGGTGACTATGAAGAGCTGGAATAGGCTGATATTCCATTCCCTGCACTTGTACAATTCCGTCAGTTAGCTGTAGCATCAACATTCGTGAAGGCTTGGCTTCCCAAGGCTTTTGGGTTACTTGTGTTTCAGCTGTAATTAGCTCATTCATAGTATTTTTTCCTCTTAACTTTTGCATCTGGGAATATGCAGGCTGACTTACATCAACCAATGAATTAATCTGCAGAGCAAAAAACCCATTCAGTTCTCCTTTTGGAACTTCTAAAATGTCATCAGGTAGGAGAGGATGCTCCAAATCTTTCAGATCAGTAAGGAGCCATTGCTCAAAAACTTGTTTATTCATTTGTGCCTGACTCAAATGAACATTATCATTTTCTTCTTGGATCCAGTTAATACAAGCTTCCAGCCACACTAGAGGTACTTTAACATGCCATGTAGCTAAAAGCCAGGTTTCAACTCTTAATGCAATACTAGTTACACTCATTTCTTTTAAATAAAACAAATATTACACATCTGTTACCTAAAAACAAAAAAACAAAAGAATTATAATTCAGTACTCTTAAATGTTGTCTAATTCTGTACAATGCACAAACAGGCATAACCACACCCTTTTGCTTTTTCTCACTTTCAGCATCTTAAAATTCTTTTACTTTCTACATATCCAAAATTCAAATACCACAAGTAATCAGATGGTATAATGAGAAAAGCAAAAGGTTCGAAAGCTAGCTCAGCCAAATTAGTTCTCTGACCTAATATAAATTTTTTAACTTTTCTAACCCAGTTTTTTCATCTGTAAAATATCAACCATCTATCTTACAGGGTTGTTGTGAAGATTACAGGTTTAACGTTTATAAAGCATAATGTCAGAACTATGAAAGACACAGTAAATAGTAATAATTATATTAATATAATAATATTTTAATAATTTGAATTTTAGTTAAGAAATAATGTCTGAGTTTGGGTCTCAGAATATTCTAAACTCTAATAAAAGCAGCCTCCTAACTACTGAGGCAATAGAAAAAAAACACCAATATTCACTAAGGTTATTTTCATAGCTTTAATTTACGCTCTATTAAAGCATACCGCTGTTTGACCATATAGCACTTAAATATGTGGTCTAAGAATAAAGTTATAACAAATAACAATAAATTCTGAGCTGATATAAAGCATCTTATTTGTTTAGCTAAATAATTTCAATAGTCCTATTAGGTAAATATACTTCTTCTAATTTTTCTCAGTATGATAAAACAGTATTAGCAAAACAGTAAAGACTAATGAACCCTGTGTTCAAAAAAGTACATTTTTTCCCCTTCTACAGATAAAGATATCCAAGAGTTAGAATTTATAAAAGTTTTAATACATCCATAAGAAAACTTACCATTTGGAACAGGAGCATAGCATTTGATGACAGGACTTAGAACTTGGTTGTTCAGTGGAGTACTTGTAACCTCTACCACTCAGAAATACCCCCTGGGAGCTAAGACAAGAAGCAATAAGGGTTATAAGAGGAAACTGCAAAAAGAATCACTAGCCTGTTTTCGTGAGTACAAGAGTTTGATGGTATGGTTTTTCAGGTTCCTGTTATCAATCAGGGTAGAGGCAATAAAGAATTTTTAAAATGAAGTTTGGAGTGAGATGCACAAAAGCAAGTACCATGAGAAACTCACTCCAAGCTTGCTTCCTTGTCTATATAGTACTTACTTCATGGGCTACTATGAAAATTAAAGGAGATCAGAGCAGGCAGAGGGCAGAGTACTAACCAGCCTAGGCACAGATTCCCCCCAAAAATGAAAAATGGAACTACCATATAACCCAGCAATCCCACTTCTGGGTATATATCCAATAGAATTGAGAACAGAATCACCAAGAGATTCTGCACATCCATGTTCATTGCATTATTCACAATACACAACATTTGGGAGCAACAGATGAATGTATAAAGAAAATGTGCTCTCTATATATTTATATACATACATACATACATACATACACATATATATATATATATATATATATATATATATGAATATTAATTCAGCCTTAAAAATAAAAAAGGAAATCCTGTCATATGCTACAACAAGGATGAATCTTAAGGACATTATGCTAAGTGAAATACTCTAATTACAAAAAGACACTGCATGATTCCACTTACATGAGGTATCTAAGGTACTCAAACTCATAAAATATAAAGCAGAATTGTGGTTGCCAGAGGCTGAGAGGAGGAAGAAACGAGGAGTTATTGTTCAATGGATATAGAATTTTATTCATGCAAGATGAGTAAGTTCTAGAGATCTGTTGTACAATACCGTAATGTACACTTAAAAACTGCTAAGAAGGTAAATTTATGTTATTTGGTTGTTTTTACTACAATAAAAGAAGGGAAATCAAAAGGGAAGAGGGGAATAAAAAGGAAAAAATAAATCAGCCCTATTTGCAGATGACAGGAATGTTTATGAAGAAAATGCCAATAAATCTACAAAAAAGCTCCATCACCTAATAAACGAGTTAGCCAGATCCAAGTGTTTACGTCGTGCTCTATTTAGTATCACATAGTTCACACTTTTGTGTTTTGCTTTGTTATTGTTTGTTTTTTATGATTTCACTGTTTCAAATGGCCCCTTAGCATAGTACTAAAGTGCTGTTTAGGGCCCTGATCAGGTGGCTCAGTTGGTAAGAGCGTCGTCCCAATGCACCAAGATTGCAGGTTCCATCCCCAGTCAGGGCACAGACAGGAAGCAACTGATGCATGCATAGATGCATAGATAAGTAGAACAACAAACTGATGCTCCTCTCTCTCTCTAAAAATCAATAAATTAAACAAATTAAATAGTGCTGTTTAGTGTTCCTAAGTACAAGAGAGATGTGATGTATCATATGGAAAAACAACTGTGTTAGATTAAGCTTCATTTAGGCATGAGTTATAGTGCTGTGCTATTGATCATAAATTCAATGTTAATCAACATATATTGAATAAAGTATCTTTAAACAGAAATACACATAAAACAAGATTATGTACTCATCGGCTGATATAAATGTCATGACCAGAGGCTCATGTAACCTAACCCTATATTTCCCCTAGGATCAATGGTTCAGTATTTCCTAATTTATTGTTCACAGCAACTTTATAGAATATAACTATCACAAAAAACAAGGCTCAACTGTACTAGCAATCAATAAAACAGTGCATTTTACAGTAGTACCAAAAATTTAAATCTAACAAAATACATGGAGGAATGTATATAATGAAAACCACAAATTACTGATGAAAGAAATCAAAAAACAACCTAAACTAAGCAAGTGAAGAGGTATGTCTTTTTTTTTTTATAATTTTTTTTTAATATCTTTATTGATTTCAGAGAGAGGAAAGGAGAGGGAGAGAGAGAGATAGAAACATCAATGATGAGAGAGTCATTGATCAAGCCCACAACCTGGGCATGTGCCCTGACCAGGAATCAAAACCCGATCGTCTGGATCCCAGGTTGACGCTCAACCACTGAGCCACGCCTGGCAGGGCAAGAGATATCAGGTCTCCCCAAAGTGATCTATAGATTCAATGCAATTCCACTCAAAATCCCAGCAGGTTTTTTTAATAAAAAATAACAAGCTGATTCTAAAATTTATATGGAAAGGCAAAGAACCTGGAATAGCCAAGGTAATTTTGAAAAAGAAAAAACAAAATCAGAGGACTCATTCTATCTGAAGTCAAGATTTATTATAAAACTACAGTAATCAAGACAGTGAGGTATTAGCAAAAAGATTAACATATAAGTCAAGGGGAAGAGAAGACAGTCTAGAAAGAGACCCGCATATATGGTCAATTGATTTTCTACAAAGTTGCAAAGGCAATTCAATAAAAACAGGAGAGTCTTAAACAAATGGTGCTGAAACAATTGGACATTTATATGCAAAAATAGGAGCCTCAATCAATAACTCACACCATATATAAAAATTAACTCTTAGGGATCATAGACCTAAATATGAAAACTCAAACTATAGAAACATCTATAGGAAAAGTTAGGAGAAAAACCAAGCTCATACATACAGAGAATAGGTTGATAGCTGGCAGAGGTGGGAGTTGGGGCTGGTCAAAATGAGTAAAAAGGGTCAAAAAGGTACAAATTTCCAGTTATAGAAAGACATGGGGATGTAATATACAGCATGAAGGCTACAGTTAGTAATACTATACTGCATATTTGAAGTTGCTTAGAGAGTAGATCTTAAAAGTTCTCATCATAAGAAAAAAAATTTTTGTAACCACGAGTGATGATGGATGTTAACTAGATTTATTGTGATGATCACTTCCCAATGTATACAAATAGCAAATCATTTTGTTCTATATCTGAAACAAATGTAATGTTATGTTAATTATAACTCATTTTTTAAAAATTAGGAGAAAAGTCTTTGTGTTTCTTAAAAGTTTTCTTAGATACAACACCAAAAGCATAATACATAAAAGAAAAAAACTAATAAATTGGACTTCAAAATTTTTAAATTCTGCTGTGTGAAAAGACATTGTTAAAAGTATAAAAACAAGCCAGACTGGGATAAACACATAATTGAAAAAGAAGACTTGTATCCAGAATACATACAGAATTCTAAAATTCAATAAAAAAAAAACACCACACATATACACAAATTTTAAAATGAGTGAAATATTTGAATAGACATTTCACCAAAGGTATGCAGATGGCAAGTAAACACATTAAAAGATGCTCAATATGATTAGATATTAGAGAAATGAAAAATCCAAATCATAATGCAAACTACACATCTATTAGCATAGTTAAAATAAAAAATAACTGAAAATACCAAGTACTGGAATTCTCATATTTACTGGTGGGAATACAAAATGGCACAGCCACTTTGGAAAACAATTTAGCAGTTTCTTAGAAAAACAGATAGCATTTTCTTAGAAAGTTAAATATACACCTATACCATACAACCCAATAATTATATTACTAGGTATTTACTCAAGAGAAATAAAAACTTACACTCTATATTAAACACCTGTATTTGAATGTTTATAGCAGCTTTATTCATAATCACCAAACGAGGAAACAACCTATATGTCTTTCAACTGGTGAATGGATAAACAAATTGTGGTACAGAATTACAATGGAATACTATTCATAATTGAAATGAACTATGAATAGACACAATAGCATGGATGAATGTTGCTATAGACTGTGTTCCCCTCCAAAATTCAGGTTGAAATCCTAATGCCCAATGTGATGGTATTAAGAGGTAGGGCTTTTGGGGCATAATTAGGTCACGAGGATGCAGCCCTCATGAAAGAAATATAAACTCTCATAAAAAGAGAGAACCACCATCAACCCCTAACAGAACTACCTTGTCCTTTCCACCATGGGAGGTTACAGTAAAAATCCATGAACCAGAAAATGTGTCCTCACCAGACACCTACCAAATCTGCCACTGCCTCAGTCCTGGACTTCCCAACCTCCAGAGAAACTTCCGTTGTTTATAAGCCACCCAGTTTATGGTATTTTGTTATAACAGCCCAAACAGACTAAGACAAATGTCAAATGTGGTATGCTAAGTGAAAGCAGCCAGACAAAGACTATATAATTCCATTTATATGACATTCTGAAAAAAGCAACACTATAGAAACAGAAAACAATTTGGTGATTGCCAAAGGCTTGGGATGTGAAGGAGTTGACTACAAGGAGCACAAGGAAATTATGGGGGTGATGAAACCACATATTCTATAAGATGATGTGGCGGTGGCCGTGACGGTGATGTGACAAACCTCATAAAACAGCCCTCGCTGGTGTGGCTCAATTGGTTGGAGCGTTGTCCCATACACCATCGATTCCCAGTCAGGGCAGATAGCCAGGTTTCAGATTTGATCCCCAGTTCATGCACATGAGGGAGGCAACCAATCAATGTTTCTCTCTCACATCAATGTTCTTTTCTTTCTCTCTTTGTCTGTCTCTCTCTCCCTTCCTCTCTCCAAAATCAATTTAAAAAAACCCACAAACTCATAGAAAAAGACCATGAATTTTAATGAATATAAATTACGCCCAGTAAAAACTAAACATAAACACCAAAAAATAGAAATATAGTAACTACCTTTCAAACTTGCTAAGGAAAAGAGAGAATAAAGAAAACAATCCAAGAGAGGCACAATGAGAGCAGGCAAGCATGATATAGAGAAACTATAAATAAGATGGTAGGAATAAGTCTAAATATGTTAGCAATCATAATGAACATAGACTTACCTGTTAAAAGATATTCTCAAATTGAATAAACCAAATCCAGTTGTATCTTTAAAAGGCAGCCCTAAAACAAAATAAGATCAAAATATGAAATTAATTAAAATAAAGGCATGTTAAAACCTCCAAGAACAATTCTATGAAGCCACAGTCTTAGATTCCAAAGTGCTACTTTTTCTTTTTAACCTCAAAAATTATACCAGATCCATGGCTCTTAGGTGAGCTCATTCAGTAAGTTACCTATTTCCTCTAATATAATTTCCAAAGGTGTAGTAATGTAATGACAGTCAATAAGTAACCTGAAATGAAGACAAAGTGTACTTTAGTGGTTATATGTTGTTTAAGTGAATGACCAAGTATAAATGCCACAATAACAATTCAGTTGTTTGCAAAATGTTTTGTGCTATAACTTGGGTATTTATAGTATATGCCCCTAAATTATTACATGTAGCCAGATAACACCAATGCTATTTTCTACCTGAATCTGTTAAATACTAGGAGATAATAATGATACTTCTAGGAGGGAAGAAACAGTAAGAAAGGAAAAAAGACTGACTGGTTGTGAACTGAAAAGGTCAAGGCTAGACAGGAAATGAAATGAACAAGGATGAATTTCAAATATTAATCCTATAATCCCAGCAGGTACAGCTCTATAAACACAGAATTAAACACATGAATTTGCTGAAAATAAAAACTAAAACCTCTTATTCTTAAGATATTAAACTTTTTGCAAAATACTTTTACATCTGCAGTATTACCTAAATTTCAAAATAACTTATGGTAAGTAGGTATTGTCATCTATTTGAGAGAGCATGAAACTGAGGCATGAAGATAAGGGTAGGTATTGTCATCTGTTTGAGAGAATGAAATTGAGGCATGAAGATTAAGATATAAAGATCATCCTAGTAGCAAATCTATAAATGGAACATAAATTCTGCTCATCTCCATTCTTATGCTTTTTGCTAGACCCTATTAACTTAAGTACATAGAAAATATAGTAGTTTAGCCAGTCCCTTTCTACGTATAAAACCCACTTACATATAAAACTTACTCATAAATGGCTATTCTATGAGAGCACTGCACTATTAAAAGGAACAGACTTCTCAGATCTCATTTAAATAACAAGCTCACCTAGTGCATTCTAAATTATTTCATTTACAAAATCAAGTTAAAGAAGAACTCAACATCATCTATTGCATCTATCTTTATGACAGCTTCAAAATAACATTATGGTTCAGTAATTTTCCTTTGTTATATAACTCTACAAAAACACCACATAATTTTAAATTTTCAAAAATATAACACACTGATATTTTAAGGCTTATGTATGCATTTATTTTTTAAATTTTTTTTATTTCAAACATGCACTTGTTTGTGTTGTTGAACGTGACAAGTAACAAAACTTTCAAAAGACAGCTAGGGCAAATTCTGAGAAACACTGCTCAACTAAACCAAAACTAAATTGTTCTAATATGGGGCAGTACTAATTAATAATTCTCTCCAAGTACTAGCCTCTAGGATTTGAATCTCTACTTCTGGAACTGACATCCTATAATTTTATACTACTATCAAAGAAAAAATTCCAGTGACTAAAATCCCAAAAGATAACCAAGACCTTTTAAAACAAATGTGTTAAGAGATATTTAGCATTGTTCAACCAAATACAGCTAATATCAAATATTTCACCAAAAGGTCATGAACTGTGAGGGAAAAACTGCTAAATGCCCATTTGTTACACAGAATTCTTCATTTAACAGCAAAGAAAGTGGAAGGTATATCGATCTGAACATTGACATAGTCCCCACAACTGCGTGTTATAATAAATGTAATGAAAAAAATAATTCTACGTATAATAGGATTGTTTTTCCTACAGGTTACAAAGAAAAGTTTATTAAAATTTTTAATCAAATGAAAAAAGTATTATCATGTGGGATCGGTATTATAATGTTTAGACTGAATTTCAATAACCAAGCCCCTTAATTTAGTAAATCCTATTACTTGCATCTTCTCCAGAGAATTCCTAAGGTTTTCATTTCTCCCTTTTTCAAGAAATTGAGTAACCATAGTTACTACAGGTAGAAGCAGCTCAGAGGAAAGATGTTAGCTAGAGCAGTACAGCTTCCCATCTGCTCATATACAAAAAACTGCCCTTAATCTTCAAAGGTATATGTTTTTTAAATTGTACATTAAGAAATGTTCATACCATATAATCCACTTCTTTTACTTTCCAAAATTCATCTTAAGAAAACAATCAGGAATGAAGACAAAGATTTATGTGCCAGAGTGTGTATCCTTGTATTTTTGTAGTGTGAGGGGAAAAACCCCAGAAACAATCTATGAAATGGAAGGTAATACCATCTTTAAAAAACATTTTTAAGGACTATTTAATGACACGCTCATATTTTATTTTGTTAGGGAAAAGGCCAGATATAAAACTACATCTACCTTAATCCCCACTAATTTCATGATCATGAAAAATTGTTTAACAAATGGATTGATGTTTTATGCATGCTAAACTTGGCTGACCCCAATAATCTACATTCTAGATATTGACTGCAGGAACTGAGCAGAAAGAGAATAGCATAGGAAAATGCTATCATTCACCACTAATACCTAAGCATATTTGATTTATAAATTAATTTTCAGTTAGCTTCACATATTTCAATTTTTTAAAAGATAGAAAAAGAGGAGGAAGTACTTCCTCCTCTGTATAGTACCTTGAGCACTGTATATGACATTCAACCAATAGCAGAAAGACTTAAAAGCAATAACAAATATTTAAATTATAATCATTCAATGTTTCCACTATCTTCATCTAAAAAAATAAAGGTAATCTGTGTTTTAACTCATTTGGGATGACATCAAAGTAATCCCAGAATTTTGAGAAGGTACTTTCTAAAAATTAGGGGGAAAAATTATGTAATGACTGAAATCAGAAAGAATCAGTGGGGCTACTTGTGGATCTTCCATAACCTAATGTAAGAAAAAAACAGAAAGCCAATAGGTTTAGCGGTTTGAATCCCAACTGTGCTATGTGACCTCAGACATGTTCTTTAACTTCTCTTAATTTCCTCATCCATAAAACAAAGATAACCACAACTTATCCACAGAACTGTAATAATCATTAAACTGCCAGCACAAGGTCTGGCACACAGTGGGGAATTCAGGAAATGTTAGCTATAATATTTTAAATAATCATTCAGACTGTACAATTTCAATTAAATTAGCTTATCTAAAGTAAATCTGGTGTGGCTCAATTGGTCGAGCGTCAAACGGTGCACCAAAAGGTTGCTGGTGGGATTCCTGGTCCGAGCACAAACCCAGGTTGTGTGGGTGCAATCCTTAGTTGGGCATTATTAGCAGGAGGCAACCAAAATGTTTCTCTGTCTCTTTCTCTCTCTCTAAAATCAATAAAAACATATTTTTAAAAAAGAATAAAGTAAATCCTACACCTAAGTAATACTAGTTCTGATTTCAACTGGGAGTCCAAAATGATCATACAATTAATTATACAAAACAGGAGCCACTGAACGTATCATTTGATTTGGCAAGTCCTTGAATAAGCATAATATAGTTTGGCTGAAAAAAACAAGAGGATGCAAGGATAGTGAAACGGCAGAGAAATACCTGTAATTTAAAAGGTAAATCTAAAAAGTAAATTATAAGAGGTAAGAAAGAAAACAAGTGTAAAAAGGAAAAGAAAAAAATGCCATCTGATAATGGCATCTAGAAAAGTTAACAGCTTTCACCAATTAGGATCTAGTCAGAAGACAGTGAAATTGGGAGGAAGAAGTTCCTGGATAGGGCTGCTTTATTTTGCATTCCTGTTCATTACTCATCAGTACTTATCAAGGCAGAAAATGATGGCTACAACAAAAATAATAGTTTGAAAGAAAACATCATTAGTACAGTGTCCCTATATGTACCTATTAGTGTTAGTGAAATGTCCCAGATTTTAAATGACAGATTCAATTAAATGTTGCAAATCCTAACTGGCTGATTAAATGTCTGCAATTCCCAGCCCCCACATACACTCATCAATTCTTGAACACTTAATAAAAATCTGAACTATGTACCATAGAACCAAAATGTGAGTTAAGTTTTACCTGTCAACAACTTATAATACACTCTTCATGATGGGGACCATTAGAAAAACTATATTACCACTTTACGAGACCTTTTATAAACTCCACGACCCCAGAAACTATGCTCTAACGGTATTTGTTAACTATTTTCCGAGCCAATAAATGGTGCATCATGAAGTCCTCAGTTCCCTCTGAGTTTTCTTCCTAATTAGGCAAGTAAAAGAGAAAGGACAGACGAAATTAGAGCCATTTTAAAATAGATGCTGGTTACATCTGCTTTGCAAATTATTCAAGAGGGAATTCAAGTTACTATGTAATGAGTCAGCAGAAATTTATCATTACAAGCATATACATATATAAACAGACTCCACTAATAGTGGATTTAGCTTCTATGTGTAAATTACACTTTTAAACTGTGAGTTCGGGGTTATGGAGGAAGGCTGGAGGGTTAAGGAGTCGTGATGCTAAAACTGGGTACTACCACGCCTGGCGACTTCCCGGGACCTCTCGGGTTTGTCCGGATAAGAAGCGACCTTAAGAGAGATCATTCAAAGCTTTGCGCTGGGCCTTAGATAAAGTAACCGGACACAAAGCAAGAACGCACTAGTGCAAACTGGATACGCTCAACTGGTAACGTTGGAGGGCGAGTTTTTGTTTTGATCGCCGCCGAATACCCCGACACGCGGTAGGCTCCTGCGAACTGAACGCGGATGTCTAAACGTATTTGATGCTTGCATTCATTTCGGAGGAATGCAATACTACTTCCAGAAACTTTTCACACATAAAATGCAGCGACGACGTTACAAAAGACTCGCATCACAGACCCCATTGACAAAAAGAAAAAAAGAGATAAAAGAGATGGAAAGAATGAAAGGTCGCTTCATGAAGGAGAGCCCTGTAGAGATGCCGGGACGTCCCCGGGCGTGCTGGATTAAGGTCGGAAACGAGGGGACAAGTTTTCCAAGATCCCGAGGCTCGCCGCCACAACCCCGCGAACCGCCCGCGTGGCCGGGATCCCGCCCGAGCTGGCCGCCCGGGGCGAACAGCCAGCTGCACCCCCACCCGGGCTTCGCCTGACGGGGAACTGCGGCCAGGTACAAACAGCGGGTTTCCGTGGCGAGGGCCGGCCGGCGGTCAGGCAGACTGCACTTACCGACCCGCAGCTCGCCCCGCAGCCGGGCAGCCCGGGCGGGAGGGAAAGTGCGGAGAGAGGGCGACGTGAGTGTGGGCTGTGGAAAGTGGCATTCGTCTGGGCCTACCACCGACCTGGGAGTCCCGCCTTCCCCTCGCGCAACAGCAGTTCCCGGGCCGCGCGACCCAGACAACACGAGCCGAAACGGCGCGCGCCCTAAACCCTATTTTGCCTCTTCCCGCCCGATTTGCAGCACGCTCACGCCCCTCCTCCAAACCCAAAAGATTTCTTCAGCCCGAAAACGCCCCCTCCCTATACTCGTGGACGAGGCAGCCTTTAGTTCTCGCGAGAAGTTCTTCCCCTCCCCCAGCTAGTGAGTGCGCGAACGAGAAAGGAGGAGGGTGCTCCAGGCGAAAGCTGCAGACGCCATTATCCTGTTTCTCTGCTGCACCAACCTCTACGTCTTGCTTACGTCCCTCTTGTTTACGGCCTATAGGTAATTGGGGTTATTGGGGCTTCGGTATTAAGGACTCAGCAGGGTATTGGCCTCCCTAAAGGCTGTGTTGAGTTTTTCCAAGTCCGGTTTTTCTCCGGCCCTTAGCGGCCTCACAGCCTGAAGGGAGGCGCCGGCGGGAGGCGGGGGTGTCGCGCCTTAATTGACGCGACCTTAGACCAATCGCTTCGCCCTGGCGCCACCGCCGAAGCCCCGGCAGCCAATCAGACACGGCGGCGGGGTAGGAGAGCGCGGGAGGCGGAGAGAGCGGCCGGGCCCTGCGTTCGTTTTCTGTCTAGCTGTGACCGGTTGAGGCGGCGCGGCGGCATAGGGACGACGGCCTCGCGCGGTGAGGAGCGGGGCTGGGCAAACGGCGCGTGAGGGCGAAAGTCGGAGACACATTTTGCCGCTTGAGGGAGGCGTTTGGGTACCACTTGGTGGTTGGCGGATTCTCAGCAAGGGAACGTTGCCCGATTCCCCTCCCCCCCTCCGCCATTTCCCTGAGCGTCTATCCGCAGTCCGCGTTGTGGTACTAGAGGCTTCGGGGCATTACGAGGCCTGTACCAACAGGATGAGCTGCAGTTTCGTAGTCTTGGGGACTAGTACGCTTCTTGTTTGGCAAGAAGGGGCCGGCGGGGGGGACCCCAGGGCGATAGAGATCGCCGCTCTCTTTTGTGTGGGTCCCACCGCACTTAGGCTCTCCCGGCCTGGGCTTGGGGCTGGAGCCGGGAGGTCGAATGGTCAGGGTTGCCTCGGTTGCTTTGTCTCTCCCGCGGTGGGGGGAGGGTACGGGGGCTGAGATCTCGGGGCCGCGTGGTGGGTGGGGGAGGGGGGTCGGCGCTCGACTCCTCCTAGTAGCACGTAGTCGCCATTACAAGGGCGGCCATTTCCTGTCGGATCGGGGAGAGACGTGCGGCGCTTCTGCTCTCGCCTCTGGCTTTCTCAACTCCTGTTACTCGGCTCTTGCCGATCCCGGTATCGGGAGCTGGGAGGGGAGTGCATGTTTGCCTCGTCTGGTCACGCGCATACTTTGCGATTTTTGCCGCACGAGGAATGGTGATTGAAGGACCGCGTCAACGTCTTATTCTTATAGAAAGACCCTGCTGGTTGTCTTTAAACGCCTTCATCCAAGTCTTCCGTTACCTCTCAGTATTTAACTGATGGGCCCGAAGGAGAGTTTCAGTTATTCGTTACCAGAGTGATCGACAAATGTTGTGGAAGGCATAAATATTGACTTTTTTTTTTTTTTGTAAGCACTAGGCTGCCTTTTTTTTTATTTTTAAAGAAGGACCACGTTGCCGTCTGCTTCCAGTTCCGAGGGGAGATAAAAGGCTTTTTGCAGTCTTCTCACCAGTCTGGTTGTAGAGGTGTAATTGTTAGGTTGTACCCTTTTTAACATAGTGTAAAATATCTTGATAGTGTTCAAGGGCTCCGTTAACTCTGTTGAATAATCGAGTAGTACTGGCAGTTTGGAGCTGCTCTCAAGTTTTGAGATTTATTCCTCCAGTAGAAGGACCTGGAAATGGGTTGAATTTGCATTTATATTTGGAAACTAATTTCTGTGATGGGACTAAATCCGGTGGCTTTAGTATTTCCTTTGGGGGGGAGGGGATCCGATATCATTGTTTTAGATTTTTAAGGCAATTATTTGCGGGTTTAAGACCCTAAAATGAAGAAACTAGCTTTAGAAATAGCTCTTTAGTTTGTTGAGATCAGTGTGTGTTCGTATCTAGTAATCAGCAACCAAAAGGCAAAACTGATTTGTGTTGGTTTTTGTAGGCTACTGAAGCACTAGGGTGTCAGTTGGTCCCGCCCAGAACACTTCAGTTCTGCTCTGCAAGGATATATAATAACTGGTACGTTCTAGAAGCAGAGTCATGTCTTTGCTTTTTAAAAATATTTAGCAATATGCACAGCTTACTTTTCAATAAGCCAAATATACTAATCTCTTTATTTTCTTAACAGATTGGTGTGTCTATATAATCCAAGAAAATGGAAACTGAACAGCCAGAGGAAACCTTCCCCAATACCGAAACCAATGGAGAATTTGGTGAGAGTACATTTTAATTGTAACAATTTTATAATTTTTCTTCCTTTAATTTTGTTATTTCTTTGATTGTTTAGTCTGAGTTAATCCTTATCGTATAGGTAACTAAACAAAGACACAAAGAAAGCCAATAAATACAAAAATGTTTTTTAATTGTATTCTTAAATTCCTGATCCTTTGAAATATTTTGTCACAGTATCTTATGTTTGGAAAAGGTTACTGAAAGGGAGAATGCTTTGATTCATATTTAAAAGTCAAAGAATATAAATGCCTTTGGCTTTTTTAAAACAAGCTTGGAATTAGCAACAAATCTCTTACGGCAGAATGTAGTTGCTTTCTCTAACTTAACCTGAGTTAAATAAATTAAAACATATATAATTAAAGATGCCTTCTTTCTTGAAGATGCTGTGCTTTCTTTGAAATTTGAACTGTTAATTTCTAGGTAAACGCCCTGCAGAAGATATGGAAGAGGAACAAGCTTTTAAAAGATCTAGGAACACCGATGAGATGGTTGAACTTCGCATTCTGCTTCAGAGCAAGGTATTAATTTTACTCTTGAAAATTTGAAAATAGTTTTTACTCAAGTAGAAATTAGGTTAAGTTCTGGTTTGGCCCTATGGGAAGCCTTCAAAGCCTTAAAGCTTGAAGAATATGAAAGATCTGTGATGCTATACAGGGACTTGTAGGCCCGTGGTGGCTTTTTTTTGCCTAACAATTAAAATTAAATCCTTTAATATATTGAGCCACTTAAAGATCAAACCAGGAAAAGGGTGTGGGTGATCCTAAAAGCATTAATGGATCGTGATTACATTGTGAAATTATTAGAAACAGTTTACTTGATATTATCAGGTCACAGTGTGAAGGTGTCTACTAGGGATGGGTACTATAAAATTAATCAGTGCTTAAGTTTTATGTTCAGTATATTGTGACATTCTGAATATTCCAAATCTCTGTCAGTGTTTAGACCCCCCAAAGTCACATAGACACTTGGTAGTGTGTGTGTGTGTTGTTTTCCCTTGGTTAAAGCTTGAGAGCACAGGAAGGAAAGGGCAATGTTAATTTGTCTTTTTTCCTCCAGAATGCTGGGGCAGTGATTGGAAAAGGAGGCAAGAATATTAAGGCACTGCGTACAGACGTAAGTATTAAAGAGTTTAAACTACTACTCCAGCTTTGGTTTATATTTGTAGAAATTTAAAGAGTTACATCATAGAAATCACTTTTAATAGTTTAGATACAAGCCATTTGTAATTATTGATTGCATAGATAATTTCAAGGTTTACCATTCCTGAATTTAACTTGGATTCGGTGAGGAGGTCTATATTAAACCTCTTCACTTTCTAATAACTTTCCACCAAATTATTCACTTCGGGCAAGATAACATCTTAATTAGAAATAACGACAGTGTAAAAACCCTTAATTGCACCATTTCCCGTGTGTGAATCAATTAGTGTTACTGAAAACCATTGCAGGTGGCTGATTAAACTCAGAAATTTTATTCCCTTTTTTTTAATCGTCCATCTGTTCTTTAACAGCTTGCACATGGAGCACAAACAAATTAATGTTTAGCTTGCATGTCTTAAAAATGGGTGAAGAAGAGTAGGCATTTAATCTTAAGATTGGGAAACCTTACGTCAATACCAGTGATTTGAGTCTTCATATTTTATAGTGGGTTGACTCTTGTGATTAGACACATTAAATGTTGGTATCACCAGAAGTGTATTTATAGGACTTGGCTACACCTAAATTCCTTTAAAATTTCTCATAGTGAACACGCTCTTTAATGTTTTCTTGCTAAAATTGAGGCAAATAACTTTGTGTTGAATACTTATTTGATAGAATTTCATTTCTCTCTTGGTCGCAGATCTTTGTATGTTCCTCTTGATTACTGTAAACTGAACTTGAAAATTTGTTTTAAAATTTTACCAACTTGCCTATTAGGATCTAGGAATGCATTTTAAACCTCCAGGAAACCAACTAGTCTTTTAAGAGTTTAGGGTTTTTGGTGGTGTGGGAATTTTTGTTTTGTCTTTTATAAACCTCTCTCCTCTTAATCCAGATATTCTGTATAATTATCTGGGTTATTAATTTCCCCGTTTCCTCAAGAACTTCAGTAAACTGAGTCATGACAGGTTTTGTGTCTACCCTCATGAGCCAGCCTGCTACTGAAACATCGTTTGTTGTTTTTTTTTTTTTTTTTTTAAAAAAGGCTAGTACCTTCATTTAAGGTCCTTAAATGTTAAGCCACAGTCAGATATAGAGAAGGCCATTATTGTGTTAGTCTTCAGAACAACTTAAACTTGTTTCATTAATTGAGAGTATGAGTATAGTTTGTATTAAATTAAAATTTATTGCTTTTCCCCCTTTTCCCTCTCCTTGTTTTTTTGGCCATATATCTCCGTTGCCCATGTACTGGATCGACTTACCCCTGCGTTGCCCACCATGACGTTGGCCCATCCGCCCCTGAACGCCCATGTGAAAACCCTGGTTGGCTATGCCCAAAAATGTGCTCGTTGCCAAACGGGTACCATACTTGACAACTTCTGATTGAATGCCCATGCCCAATGCCAACATCCACGAACGCCAATGACCAATGCAGTACAATGCCAGTGTTTCAGTCCCAGACAGCAGTGGCCCCGAGCGGTATGTCCCAACAGTTTATGCCTCACTGCCTGATTAGAAAGAGAGAAATGTATTTTATTACCTGCCTTTTATATAATTAAATAGTATCCCCTTTAGACGGTGTATTGTTTTTCAAGTTTCTGTCTTATTTTCCCCATTAAGTCTTTTTGTCACTGAACTTTGACCGTGAGTTGCCCACCCAAACGATCCACTAATTTTATTTCAATGGAAGGAGCACAGCTTCAAGTGTTGCATATTTGCTGCATTGTAAATCAAATTGTTACCAAAATAGTCTCTCGCTCTGTCTTTGTGGCCCACCTTGCTTCCCAACATTGCCTGTTCATAATTTTTTCTGATGAAATGCTAACTCTGGTTCACTTTCCTTCACTTCTCATTTGTATTGTCTTTGTTTTGTCTCGCATTTGTATTTGTTTTCTTGCAGAGCCCATTAGTGATCTAATTTCTAACTGGTATCCATAACCTTACTCCAAATACAATGTTCACCACTTGCATATTCCCCCACTTTGCCTAAGAGAAGGTGTGCCAGTTTTACCAATGTAACAGCGAGGGTATCCTTAATTAACTTAGTGGTGGCGGGGAACATAAATATTCAACTCTGCTTCAGTTCTGGTCAGTTTATTGCCCACTTAATCTGAGCCCTTCCAAGAGCCCATTCTCTCTGTCTCTCTCCAAGTCTCCTAATATTGTTATCATGTCTGTATTGGGCATAAAACAAAAATGCATGTGTAAACCTATAAATAGGCTACTTTAAATGGGGAGTATTAAATAATTGTTACTTCTCTGTAAAAGTTTGTACGACTACTGGTGATAAACACAAAACTCATTTTTCTTTTCCACCTTTTTTGTACTATCTGGTATTTGTGATGTTTGACAGCATATTGAGTATCAGTGCTGATATTGAAACAATTGGAGAAATTCTGAAGAAAATCATCCCTACCTTGGAAGAGGTAGGCTCATTTTTTTATGTATTTGTCAATTGGGGGGGCGGAGCAGTTAAAGTGTGTTTTATTGGGGCAGTAGGGGAGGTAGAGAGACAGTGGATATAACAGTTTGTAGCAGCTGCATCTTACAACCTGCTACATAGTATACAGTGTTACTGTACTCCCATTATTTGTTTTTGAATGTCTGGCCACTGCAGAGTAAACATGAACTATCTGGCCATGCAGTTTCATGGGTTTAGCATATATTTTATGGGCTTTAGTTTTAGAGGCGGTTGGGGGGGGTGTTAAGTTGAAATATTGTAGGACTGTGTTAGAAAGGACTGTGTTTGAAAAGTTTGAGGATTTTTAAATTCTGTAATTAACTGTACAGAGGAAAAACATTGTATATTAGTGTAGATTAGCAGTTTCTCATTATATAATAATATAGATGTGGTTGTAGTAGCTTTACCAATATATGCGACAATAGCCTGATCACACTAGACATTTAACCTATTACTCTTATTTTTCTACTTTCAGGGCCTGCAGTTGCCATCACCCACTGCAACCAGCCAGCTCCCGCTCGAATCTGATGCTGTGGAATGCTTAAATGTATGTCATAGTGCCACTGAACCCCACTGAAGTATGGAGCCTGGCCCATGGGATTAATTTTATTTTTAACATAGTGTGCTTTTCCCGTCTCTAGAAAAAGGCTTAAAAACATGATAAGTGAATGGTCTTACAACTCACTGTTGACCCTGCTCCATGCTGCAGTGGGAATTAACTACATTTGCAAAGTGCTTTGCAGTCATTTATATTATGGTGTTATTTGAATGTTAATAATAATACTGTAGTAACAGCGACATGCTAAATGGCTGCAGTGTGGGTATGGTGTTGCAGGACCTGAAAATAAAATAGTTTTTTAAGGTGGTGCAGAATGTCCTTTTTGGGCCTGGCTATTGAGGATAATAAGCACATAACTGGTAAAGTTATTGAAATATAAATTCAGGTTGCTCACTGCAACAGTATGTTGTTACGCTTATAGCAAATAAGTGTGTATGATTGGGGAATCTTTAACCTGGAACTAAAATTCTGTAACTCTCCCTCTGCAGTACCAACACTATAAAGGAAGTGACTTTGACTGCGAATTGAGACTGTTGATTCATCAGAGTCTGGCAGGAGGAATTATTGGGGTCAAAGGTGCTAAAATCAAAGAACTTCGAGAGGTAAAGGCACTGTTTTTATTTTCTATTACTGGAAAATAGTTTTTCACATAGACTTAAGGTTCAGTGGGCTTTCTCTCACCCTTCTGAGTTTCTTCCCTGAGATTCCTCTCCACTTTTATATTTAGTTTACTGTTAAAGTACCACAATAAGGCCTGGCGACATTGTTTTGCTTAAAATTTTAAAAAAGTCCTATGGTTACTAATAAGATTTAGGGCGGGGAAGGGGGTGGATTTACTTAGAGCAAATGTAAATTTATCTGAACCTTCCTAGGATGCCTAGCTTCCTCTTTAGTTCACTTCCTTTTCTTTTATTAATGCCTTTTTTTTTTTTTTCTTTTTTCTTTTTTTAACTTGTTACAGAACACTCAGACAACAATCAAGCTTTTCCAGGAATGCTGTCCTCATTCCACTGACAGAGTCGTTCTTATTGGAGGAAAACCTGATAGGGTTGTAGAGTGCATAAAGATCATCCTTGATCTTATATCAGAGGTACCTTCAGAATACTTATCTTTACATCTAACTTCCTGAAACACAGATGTCAAAAGTAGTTTCAGAATGTTTAGGCAAATGTCTTTTACTTGTCCTTTCCTAGCAATTTTTTATTCTCTATCTTGAGCCGTCACTTTAATTTAGAAATAATTTGGGAGACTGGAGAATGGTCATTTGATTGCTAGTGAGATTTTTATAGCCTTTAGTCCTTCAAAGGAAGATTCTACAGTACTACATTGCACAGCTTCTGAATTAATGGCTTACCCAAGATACTGATCCCTTCATCCCTCTGAATGGTCTCAAGATCTTAGGGTAAAAATAGCCAGCTGCTAATTCTTCCCCCCACAAGCAGTAAAGCTTACTTTTTGTTAGGACTCACCAAAAATAACCACATTTTATCCAAACCTTTCCTTCCTACTGTATTTTTGCCTGTATCCCTACCCTGTCTAAAGTATCTCCCAGGAAAAAGGACTTTAGATATTTTGTTTGTAAAAAGAACAGTTGGTTATGAGCCAAGGCTGTTTCTCTTTGGTCTATAATATTACTGTGTTTTTGTTTTAGTCTCCCATCAAAGGACGTGCACAGCCTTATGATCCCAATTTTTACGATGAAACTTATGATTATGGTGGCTTTACAATGATGTTTGACGACCGCCGAGGCAGGCCCGTGGGATTTCCCATGCGGGGAAGAGGTGGTTTTGACAGAATGCCTCCTGGTCGGGGTGGGCGTCCAATGCCTCCATCTAGAAGAGATTATGATGATATGAGCCCTAGGCGAGGACCTCCTCCTCCTCCTCCTGGACGAGGTGGCCGGGGTGGTAGCAGAGCACGGAATCTTCCTCTTCCTCCACCACCACCACCTAGAGGAGGGTAAGTTTCTTTCAATTACATAGTAACATAAAAGAGGCTTCACTGTAGAGGAATAGTTAGGGTAGGGTTTTTATTTGATGTGTGTGGTATGTCAGTAAGCTGAGATTACAACCAGTACTATTCTTGCAGAGATCTAATGGCCTATGACAGAAGAGGAAGACCTGGAGACCGTTATGATGGCATGGTAAGAATTTTCATTTATCACCAATGTATACTTCAGTATGTAAGAGATCTTAAAGTCAGGTGTAGTTAACATTTTTGTTTCCAAATACTGTTAATTGAGAAACTTGTTTTACAAATGGACGTCTTAGAAAGCCATTTACATCATTTTGGTTGTTTGCTGGCCTATTAAGACTTTATTGAGCCATCCTTTATCCCCAAAATATGTGATGTAGAATATAAATTGCCAGGTTTATGTTCATAGTTTTGTGTCTCAACACAGGTTGGTTTCAGTGCTGATGAAACTTGGGACTCTGCAATAGATACATGGAGCCCTTCAGAATGGCAGATGGCTTATGAACCACAGGTTGAGTATCCTCGGTGTTTGAACTCATATCTTTAATAAGATGTTTGCCTCCTCACCAATAAGTGTCTTCCTGCCCCTTAATATTTTATTTACTTAAATGCTGTGTGCTTGAATGGTTTCTTGCCCTGAGGATTGTTTTCTGAAATACACTTACTAGGGAGGATATGGGAGGACTTTGGTTTCCTAAACTGAGGGGTTTTAGGAATATTAAAATATCTGAAGAACAGGCTTGAAGGCAAAATAATTCTCTGTTTTTTTCTTCCCGTTTTTAGGGTGGCTCTGGATATGGTAAGTTTTCTCCTTTGTGAAATCAAACATTTTTTTATGCTTTCTAAATGAACTTAATGCTCATAATTTAAATCAGATTATTCCTATGCAGGGGGTCGTGGCTCATATGGTGATCTTGGTGGACCTATTATTACTACACAAGTAACTATTCCCAAAGATGTAAGTATCTTTATTGTATTACAAGGAACATTTAATGTATTATTTTAAGTCCCGTAACTTATAATAAAAGACTTTGACAAAAATACTCCATTTTAGGATTAAAAATGTGTTTTTAAGGCCTTTGTGGGGTGTCCTCCAGTTTGGGATTTGTCAAGTGATGTCCAGTACTATCAAAAGCTGTTGATGTTTGAGCCCTTGATTCATTCATTAAGGAAATGTTGATGTGTAAATCCAAATCTTGACTAGTTTTAGGGGCATTAAAAATTGGAATAATTAACTACAAATTTAATACTCTTAAAGGTCATTTAAAATACAGGTAACACGGTTTCCTTCAAAGTATATCATAAACACTTGTTTTTGCAAATCTTTTCAGTTGGCTGGATCTATTATTGGCAAAGGTGGTCAGAGGATTAAACAAATTCGTCATGAGTCAGGAGCTTCGATCAAAATTGATGAGCCTTTAGAAGGGTCCGAAGATCGAATCATTACCATTACAGGAACACAGGACCAGATACAGAATGCACAGTATTTGCTGCAGAACAGGTCAGTTTAAGTGTAGCTTTATGTTAAACCTATACATACTAAAACTTTAAAAAGCTTTTCTTCTCAATTGATTTTTCTTTTAGAAGCCATGGTGTCTCAACCTTTTGGGGACCTAACTTCTAAACAATCTAATAGTTTTGCTTTGATTTTCTTCTGCTTTCTTACTAAAAACGAAGACATTCAGTACTAATCTTGCTGGAAGAAGCCTTAACCAAGCAAACTTCTCATTTCTCTGGTGAAAACTGCTGCCAAAACCACTTGTTATAAATTATACAGAGCCTGTAGAAAAATGTAGAAGATTCAGTGGATGTTGGTCTAGTTCTGTGTGGAAGACTAGTGATTTTGTTGTTTTTAGATAACTAAATCGACAACAAATCACAGTCTGCCATATGGCACAGGCCATGCCTCTACAGGACAAATGATTGGTGCTGTAAAATGCAGCATTTCACACCTTTACTGGCATTTCTTGTCTTTTCTACCAAATATTAACAACTTTTTATTTCATTTTCTTAATTCTGCTCTACTAATGTCTGGTTCACTATTAATCATTTTTTCTTGAATTTTACATTGCTCTAATTTGTAATTGCTAATGTTTTAATTCTTATTTCTAATTATAATGGACATGCTTATCGTTTTAATTTAGCATTGAAATTGTCTTAATGTTGGTTAAGATGTTACGAACAAAAATTCTAATTCGTACTTTTTTTTCTTTTCTTTTATAGTGTGAAGCAGTATGCAGATGTTGAAGGATTCTAATGCAAGATATTTTTTCTTTTTTATAGTGTGAAGCAGTATTCTGGAAAGTTTTTCTAAGACTAGTGAAGAACTGAAGGAGTCCTGCATCTTTTTTTTTTTATCTGCTTCTGTTTAAAAAGCCAACATTCCTCTGCTTCATAGGTGTTCTGCATTTGAGGTGTAGTGAAATCTTTGCTGTTCACCAGATGTAATGTTTTAGTTCCTTACAAACAGGGTTGGGGGGGAGGGTGTGCAAAAACTAACATTGAAATTTTGAAACAGCAGCAGAGTGAGTGAATTTTAATTTTTGTTCATTGTTGTTGGTTAGAAAAGGAAATTCCCCCTATGTAATTATTGTGAACACTTTGCTTTGTGGTCACTGTAACATTTGGGGGTGGGTGGGACAGGGAGGAAGAGTAACAATAGTCCATATGTCCCTGGCATCTATTCAGAGCAGTGTGCAGAATGTAATGCTCTTTTGTAAGAAACGTTTTATGATTTTTAAAATAAATTTAGTGAACCTATTTTTGGTGCTTTTTTTTTTTTTAAGATGGTCATTTTTCAAATGGCTGAATTCCCCCATCCCACCCCGAAACTAAACACTAAGTTTGATTTTCAGCTCCTTTGTTGGACTTGGACTTAGGCAAAAAAATACCTTGGCAAATTCAGTTCTGGTGATTTCTGGATGGTTTGAATGTCCATTGCTTGGGAAGAAATTCCATCATACACATTCATGCTTATAATAAGCTGGGGGTTTTATTTGTTTGTTTTTGCAAATGCTTGCCCCTACTTTGCAACAGTTTTCTATGTTAGTAATTGTGAAAGAACCAAGGTGGGGAAGCAGTACTAAAAATTAAGTGATGGTATAAGTGTATACCAGAAGCCTAATAGCAAGTTTTATTAATCGGAGTAATACTTGGTTATGGAAGTGACTGATGCTAAATAAATTCTGATTATTTTTATTAGGTAATTTCTCACCTATAAACTTAAACTGTCAGCCTGCCTAGTGTCTATTAGTTAAACTTTGTAAAATATATATATTCTTGTTTTTCCATTGTATGCAAATTAAAAGATGTACCATTTCTTTGTTGTATGTTGGATTATGTAGGAAATGTTTGTGAACAATTCAAAAAAAAAAAAAAGATGAAAAAAGTTCCTGTGGGTGTTTTGTGTAGTATCTTGACGTTTGTATTAATAGTTAAGTTCACTTCCAAATAAAACTCCGTAATGCTAGATTTGATGTGTGCCCAATTTGAACAAGGGTTGATTGACATCTGTTAAATTTGTTAAAACGTTCCTCTTGTAAGGAAATACAGTAATCTTAAATTACATATTTTTTGTGTGAAGTGTTTTTCTAGAAGTGCAATTGGGTAGGGGTGGTAAAGACGGTATCGGTAGTTGGGCTCTATGTTAAAGGGAGTGTAGCATAATGGGAGCTGAGTCGTACAATTTTACAACTCCTGTTCTCCCATTATGAGAGTTTTTTAGTTCTTTGGCTTCTAGCTCTAGTTTGATGTTTGAGAATATTAAAGTAACTAGTATATGGTTCCTGGTTTGTAAATTTCCTAAAGTACTGCCTGTTGACCTCCCAACTGTCCAGAAGGCACGAGAACTCAGTTACATGGAAAGGGATTCATGGGTGTGGTTCTGCTTAAGTTTAGGAAAGAGACAGAAAAATGTGAAATGGGCAGTTTTTCTTGAATACATAGAGACACATGCAAGTATTCTATTTAAGGCATTATTTCAGTAACACTCCCCTTTTAGGGGAGAGGAATTGAGTGTTCTCTTGATAGTAAAATACATGGTGTCATACCACTTCAAACTAGTGAACACTACCTGTGGTGGTAAGGTTTCTCCAAAGGTGAAATCAAGCTGAGTTGCCACATTGGTGTTACTTAGCCTTCTCCCTTCAGTATTTTAAGAAAGGGTGAGTTGGGGTTGCTTAGGGTATTGTACAACCTGCTAGTGTTGAAATGAGCCCTCTCCAGAGAAAAATCACCAGTGATGAGACAGCCAAGTTATTCCTATGAGGAAAGCATTCCTGGAGAGAAACTAGTTTTGGAGTCTTTAATTAGTCATTGAAAAATTATGTAAATAGATGGACTTAGCTGAAAGTGTTGGTGTGTGTCTTCTACGAACAAGTCACACTGAATACATGAACCTACTAAAGAATTGGAGAATACCTGGCATTAATAATTTGGGTATACAACTACGAGGGAGATGCCTTTTGCTGCATTGCCACTATTATTGGTAAATGGTGTTTGAACATGGGCTGGGAATTGAATTAGGTTGAGAAAATTTTGAAGTTTACAGTTCACTAAATGCAACATTGAATCAATTTTGTAGGAAGTGGTACATATTTTGGTTTTTATTGAAGCTTTAAAATTTTATGCAGCTCTGTCCAGGTAGCTCAATCATAGTGTACTGATTGGCCAAGGTTGTGGATTTGATCCCATGTCAGGGCACATATAAGAATCAACCAATAAATAATGTATAGATTTTAAAAATGTTTTTAGCTTAAGTTTTTGACAGGTTATTACCAAAATGCCAACACGTTGGAAATCAGGGTGCATCAAGGTTTTAAAAGAATGAACTTGAAACTTTTTCCTACTATTCAAATTTTAGTAGTTTGCCTTTATGAGACTATAATGGAAAATATTTTCATTGTATTGAGTGATCCAGTAATTCCTAAATCTTTGATCATACCACTGGTATAGAGACTGAATCTTTTAGGAAAGTGAACTATCATCTAAAGCAATTTTTCTCAAAAATCAGTGGTTTGTCTTCCAATGTCTTGTTAGTACTCAAAATGGAATTTCTGTTCTACAAACATGACAGGTTGTGATTTGCTTAAGATTGCTGCTGAAGAGGCCTATGCTTTTTTATTTTTTTAATCCTTACCCAAGGACATGCTTTGAGAAAAAGGGAGAGAAACCAATGTGAGAAACATCGATCTGCTGCTGTCCATACAGTCCCTGACAGGATCAAACCTGTAACCCAGGTATTGAACCTTTTGGTGCATGGGACGACACTCAACTAACTCAGCCACCAGCCAGGCAAGGCCTAAATTTTATTTCCAGATCAATTAAAAACTGTCCATAAGGTTAGTTTGGTTTTTTTAAATGTTCAGTGCCATCAGGTTTTTAGAAAGGGATTTAATCTTGATGGTTAAATTAACCTTAAATACTATGTTTACATCTGTTTGTTGTCAACATTTGCCCCTTGCTGGCAAGTTTGAAGTGAAACTGACCCAATTTCTTAATGGTGACACTGAACTTTTACAAAGCAATATCCATGTTTCTCAAACTTCCTGGGACCATCTTCAAAATGGCTAACTGCTGTTTAAACATGAAAATTTCTGGCCCATATCTCAGTTCTAATGAATCAATCACTATGGAGAGGTATCAAGAATCTGCACATAGATACACCAGGCAATCTACTACTGTCCCCCAGAAATAACTAGAAGGGCTGCTGCTGCTCTTCCCTGAATTTGAATTTCAGTTCTAGAAATTTCATCAGCCTGTCTTTGGGCAGTGCAACTACCCCTTGTTTGAATTCCAGGACCCATTCCACTGACAGCTCAGCTCCAGCTTGTAGCACCTTGAGCTAAAAAAGGTGATTGCCAAATCAGTATTTTGCTGTATATCCCGAAATGAAGAGTGAGTTCAGAATTGTTCAAAGAGATCTCATTTGTAAAGCAGTGGTGTAAACCAAATTTGTATTGTGGTGAAGAGAATCTGTCAGGGACTAGTGATAACATTCAAATCACTTCTTCAATGACACTTAAGTCTTGTGCATAACCTGGTAAAGGAACATTATTAGAACTCAGCAAACCTCTCAAGTTATTCCAGAACTTTGTTGTGTTGCTCTTTTGTTTTTTGTTTTCTTATCTTCACCCGAGGATATTTTTTCCACTGATTTTAGAGAGAGTGGAAGGCAGAGAGGGATGGGGGAAGAGAGCGAGAGAGATGTGAGAAACATTGACTGGTTGCCTCCTGCAACCCAGGTACGTGCCCTTGACAGAGAATTAAACCTGAGACCCTCCAGTGCATGCTCTAACCACTAAGCCACACCAGCCAGGGCTGTTTTCATTTTTTTTTAGATAGCAAAGAAAAAGGCAGGGTTTGGCAAAAGTAGGTTTACAGTTATGAATACATGAAACAGCCTATACCTATGGGGTAGAGCTCTAGCAAAGGTTTTCAAAAGAAACAACTTGCCTTGGCCAGTGTGGCTCAGTTGGTTGGAGCGTTATCCCATACACCAAAAGGTGGCATGTTCCATCCCTGGTCGAGACGTGCCGGCGGCAACCAATCGATGTTTCTCACACTGATGTTTCTCTCTCCCTATTTCTAAAAAAATAATCCTGAGGACACAATGCTTATAAAGGTAAAGTCATCTTACAACCATAAAGACAGACGTGACATGTTAAGTATAGTGAGACAAAGCAAGGAGCCTAGTTTTTAATAGCTTTACCAGCCCTGGAGTGCCTATTTCTAGACTTATTAAATGAGAAAAACAATCCCCTTTTGTTTAGTCACTATAGTCTCGTTTTCTGATGTGTGAAGTACAATCCTATCCAGACATTTGATCGTCTGCCTTCCCCACTAGATCATGTCAGATACCATGCTTATATTTACTACGTGTGTAAAAGAGAAAACCCAGCTCAAAACTGCTTTAAACTATAAGGAAGTTTATTAACTCACATAACTGGAGAGCCAGAAGTAGGACAGATGTAAGTTCATGTGATCCCATTACCCCAGTTCCATTTCTCTGCTATTCTTTTGACCTCCCCTGTGTTGACTTCATATATCTGGGTTGCCATCAAAAGCACTGTAGCAGTTTCAAGCTCAACATGTCCAGTGGGAATGTGAATCACTTCTGGAAAAGCTTTTCTGCAAGCATGAAAACCTATCCTTGCAACTCACTGAGGTGAAGTGGGGTACATGCATGATCCTAAACCAGTCCCTGGCAAGAGGGTGCTATTATCCTTAGACCAGTCCCGATCACCCCTGGAGCTGAGGAGGCTGAGCTACACCAACTGTAGGTAAGATGGAGGAATTCCTGAACAACCTTAGGGTTCTGTTGGAAAGGAAGGAGGGAAAGGACGTTGAGTAGGTAAACAGCTCGCTTTTTGTATTCCCAGCATCTTGTAGACGTATTTAACAAAAAGCCAAAACAAAACACCCCCACACACAGTTTATGCTTTATCTCAACAGTTAAGTTCCTTGAGTGAAGTATGTTTTACCCTTTTTTATACTACTACTAGTGTTTAACTCAATCCTGAACATAGTAGGAATTCAAATTGTGTGGGTTTTTTGTCAATAAGCCTTAGTGAGAGAAAATGAATTATTTAGCTTCCTAGATCCTTTTGTAGATTGCTAGATTTTCTTGCTAATCAACTTCTTTGACTCCCAAGACTTACAGCTGCTGGGGTACACAGAAAAAATTCCAAGTCCACAGATTTACACTTATTCAACAACTGTACTGATGTACTAGTGACTTTTTCTGGCAAAGTAAATCATAGTGAAGTCCTTTAAGTTCCTTTCTCTTACCAAAATGAAGAAACCATATGGAGGATGTTCTGCTTCTCTAGAGGCAGTTGTCAAAAGTTCCAAATCATCTAAAATTTCCAAGATTCTTAACTGTCAATAACTAGAGATGACTACGGATTTTTTTAAAATAGTTGATTTTCAAAGGTGTAAACATTTTATGTTATCCATGGAGATTTGTCTCCGAAGGAGAAAAAAGAATATGCCTCTATACTAAATTTTCATCACTAGGCAAATTTGGATCATCACTAAATTGACTCCTATACCTCTCTCCTCATCCTATTAAAATTGTTTAAAAAGTTTGGGGCTGTACAGTAATACTTATTTCCGCTGTCTCCTCAGCAGGAGCATTGATAACGTCACTACTTGGCAGTACCAGTTCAAATTGATAAGCTTGGCATGCAGAAAGTGCCCTTGGCTTGGGGATCAGGCCCTTGCCGTGAATTGGGGCTAACCACGGAGCCACTCAGCTTCTTGCAAAACGGGATTACGGTCATTTTGTCCCGGCCAACACTAAGTAAGATTCAGTACTTAAGCACAATTCCAGGTAACTTAACAATTTAATACACTTGCTTCCTCAACCATTTCTCCAAAAGTTCCAACTGATTGATTACTCGGCCTCCAAAAGAGCCAGGAATTTAGTAAACGAATGAAGAGGCCTGCCCGGGGACGGGGATAGGGAGGCCGTCGACCCGTGTCGCAGTCTTGGGGTGGCTCGGCCCTCCGCACCTCGGCCGGAGGCCATAATGCTTGTCAGGGCCCCAGGATCCGGATGCCGGGCGTCCAGCCCAGACTTCGCCCTCCGGGAGAGAAGCGGAAGCCAAGCGAAGGAAACGCAGTACACAGGCTGGAGTCGTCGCGACTGCGGCCACGGAAGCGCACCGCAGTCCCCCCTCCACCCCCGGCCCGGAGGGCGGGAGCACGGACAAAATGGCGCAGCCGCACGGCTTTGGGTGGGCAACCCCCGGCTGGCGCGCGCCAGGCCTATCCAGGCGGTGTCCCCACCTGCGGAGTCGGAAATGGGCCGGGGGCGCGCGCCCGGGAGAGAGTGGGCGGGGCCATTTTCCCGGAAGTGCCTGCGGCTGCGGCGGGGCGC